TAAAGTTGTGGAAAGTTGAGATTTTCGCTGACCTTTAAATACCCCCGGACACGCTGACCGGAAAACAACCACAGTGGACACAGTGGACGGACTGCCATGGCGATCGCTCTCAGGCTCTCCGCAATACCAGGCATTAATATAACTAAAAAAAGGAACAAATTTAAAACTAATTCCGCCCTCTTTTTTTTTTTTTCTTTCTCTCTTCTGTCTCGTTCAGATCCATTCTCAATAAAATCTCCAGTTCATTGAAGCATATTCCAAAATTTTTCCTCATTTGATGTTATGGAAACTCCGACGTCGAAGAAGGCCGGAGGCGAGGGGGGATCTGAGAGGGAGGGGTCGGAGTGCAGCACCGCGGGCAGCGGAAGCGGCAGCAGCAATGGTGTTAACAACAACAACAACAATCGAGATAACAACGATGAGAAGAACAAGATGAATGAGGATAATATTGGTAATCGACGCAGTCACAGACGTTGCAATAGCAATGTCGGTGAAGAGGGAGGGCTGTTCGAGTATTTCGGATGGGTGTATCATTTGGGCGTCAATTCCATCGGCCAGGATTACTGCCACCTTCGCTTTCTCTTCATAAGAGGGAAATACGTCGAGATGTACAAGAGAGATCCTCATGAAAACCCCGGCATTGTATGTTCCCTTCCCTTCTTCTCTTTCTTTTTGCTTTTGAATTTATTGCTGCAAGGAATTTTCGCTACATTAGCCAATGTAGATATACAAAAGCATTATTATTATTTTTTAATTACCTTCAAATTTGTCAGGATTGATTTAAATTATTTTGTAGATGTTAGCTGCTCGAGATTGATTATTTTTTTTATTTTTTATTTTTTGCTTTCCATGATCGGAGGCAACCTTGTTTTAATTCACTTTAATCGCATGTCATGTCATACCGGTATTTCACACTGAATTAGTAGCCTGTATCTATGAAAATCAAGCATTTTAATTATTCATATTACCCTGTAAAAGAATAAATAAAAAAATGCTTGTTCATTATACTGGAATAAATTGCATCTTTGGGAACAATTACATATTTACATTGGACTGACTTGAAGCCAAGTTGCTAAATGTGTATCCTAACCATTTTGTTGGTTCAGATACCTATTAGGAAGGGTGTCATAGGACCCACTCTAATGGTGGAGGAGCTAGGACGTCGTAAAGTCAATCATGGGGTAACACCTCAGTACTTTTGTATGTGTTTTGTTTATTGTTAGAACTGAAGGTCAGTGACCTTTCAAAGTCTTTTTTCTTTTCTACTTGTTTGACGCAGTTCCTTGTTAACTTTTTGTTGTTATGTTGTGTTAATCTTCATATTTTGATCAAAAAATGGAATGTTAATTAGACGCTTAACATTCATCTTTTTCTTGTGGTTTGTAGGATCTCTATGTAATACGGTTTTGTAGCCGATTGGATGAATCCAAGAAAGGAGAAGTAAGTTCTGTTTACATGATACAATTGCATTCAGTTGCTAGATATTGTTGGATAGATAACAGCTTATATTGCTTTATAATATTTTGCATAACTGGCTCGGATATGACTTGTGATATTCTACATAATATTTTATGACATTTTAAAGGAAGTCATCAAGGTTGTTGGGTTCCTTGTACCATATTAATAAAATTCTTTTGGCCATTCATAAAAAAAAAATTAAAAAATAAAAAAAATCAAGGTTTTTGGGTTGTTTAAATTTGGATTATACTATTTGCTTTTGTAAATTGTAATACTATGCAAGTCTTAGTGCAAACAATTCTGAAAGTTTTCAAATAAATTAATGATTTGCAAGAGTAAATCTATGCAATCTCTATTCTTGAGCTGGCTTGATCAAAGTTGTTTAGTATTCTGTATTAAAGTTTGGCTCAAATCTTAGTAACTTAACCAAGCTCAGTATCGAGCCTAAATTAAAAACAATACAAACTTGATCATTATTTTCTTGTTAATAAAAAACGTTATTAATATAAATATTAACAACTTGACTTGTGAGTTTTCTAGTCAAACCTCATTATACCTGAGTTTGGTGTGAAACATTATACTGAGTTTGAACTCTAATGGTATGAAGATAAGCCTTAATGTTAATGAACTTGAACCCAAAATGTCCGTTAAGAGCTCAGTTTGTTTGTAGCATGTGTGTCAAAATTGTTCACAATTGATGTATTCTTTTGCTCCAAGATTGCTTGTGCAACAGTTGGAGAAGCCAGGAAATGGATGGAGGCTTTTGATCATGCAAAGCAACAGGTACAAGCAAATTGGCTAAATTGGTGGGATTTATATATGTTAAAGAGATGATTTGATAAAAATTTATTGTTTTATAATTTTTTCTTATATTTATTTTTCAATACAACCTATTCATACAGGCTGAGTATGAGCTTTTAAGGAGCGGCAGTGCCAGATACAAATTGAACTTCGAGGCTGAGTATGCTATTTCAACTAGATTATCTTGCATTAATAGCTTGTTTGTTGAACATTAGACTTTGGACTCAGGAAAAATTTTTCAGGGTCTTGTGTTCATTAGTAATTTACTTGACTTGTTGAGATGATAGAAAGAATGCAGATAACTTAAATGAAGGGATGATTTACAGGGTCATTTGATAAAAGTTGAATTAGGAATGTGATCTTGTGCAGGAAAAATTATCTCTTTCCTGCTGTCTAGAATTTAAGTTTGAGCCTTTGTGGTTTTTGGGTTAATTTTGTATTTTGTGTTTTGTGTTTTGTATATTATTTTAATGTTCATTTTGACTCTTTAACTAGAAGGCAAATTAGCCTCATTTTAAGTTTAGTTTAGTTTTTTTTTAATATATTTTTTACCTTTTTTTGAAGTATTGACCTGGAAGGACATCGACCTAGAGTGAGGCGTTATGCAAATGGTTTGAGAAAGCTTATAAGAATTGGACAAGGTCAGTGACACTGTTCATGGTTTGACTTTGTTGATGTTTTAGCATTCTTTATAGTTATCTAGGTGTTTTAATATGCATAACAAGATCCCATGTAGATTGTAAATAGATTATTGATGTGTCATAGATAACATATTTCTTCATATAAATTTTGTAGTGGAAGTTTGAACCTGTTCTGTATCTAGCATGAACCTTTTAGATAAATCAAATTGATGGTTGTAAATTGTAGTTGACTGATAACCTAGTAGGTTAATCTTTGAATGGAGAGAGTATTGCATCCTGAAGTCTCAATTGGCTGCTTGGTGTATCTTAGCAGGATGATGGTATATTCTCTTTTCTTAATTAAGTTTATGTAGTTAACTGGCACCTAGAGTTGAAATCAAGAAAATGATTTATAGAATTTGATCAACACCTCCAGCTACAATTTTTAGAAGTGAAAATTTTGTGTGGCCAAATGAAGAAAGCAAGGTTAAGAAATTGAAGAATAGGAAGAGATAATGTATGTCAGGTTTTGATGCAGATGAATGTATTAAGAAGGGAAGGGCTAAACATGTGATTAATGGTGTACTGGGGGGCCTCTTTTCCCAAAAATGATTTGCGCCTTGAGGGGCTT